AGAGACGATAGTTGCATTTCTTTCTCTTTTCTACAAATACTACCATGCTCACTAGCTCCTTTAAGCAGTGAGCATGGTAGTATTTGTAGAAAAGAGAAAGAAATGCAACTTTATGACAATAGGAGAGAGGCTCAAGTTTGGCAGATAAAACGGGTCCAACTATGTTTACAATGTGTTTTTGGACTTATTACATGCAAACTATATACAATGCGTTTTTGGACTGTCTAGAGGAGACAGCATCATTAAAAGAACTAACCCAAATAACATTTGATAACTAAAAATCTGTACAAAACTAAGTTGTATAACTTTTTAATTGAATGATCAATTTTATTAATTTAAAAAGTATAATAACAAAAAAGGTCTAAATAATAAAAATAAATGAAATTGCTCACTGCTCAAAGGAGCTATCTTATCTAGTTCCGTCAACTAAAACTCATTCTCACTTGACTTGTCATTCTAATCCTGTAAATCTTAAAAATTGGAAAGCTGAAAATCTTAATGAACTTAAAAAACACTAAAAAAATTAAAAGAAAATTAACATATAACCCGAACATTAGCAGCTAACTGATGTTCGGGTTTTATCATAATTTCAGACCAAAAATAGTTAATTGTAATTCTTGTGCATTAGCAGGGTTATGGTACAAATTAAATTAGATTTTAGATATGTTTTTATTGATAGTTTTGCATATGTGCGGTTGTGATACATTAAATCGTTTTGCAAGACCATGCTGTTAAATACTATCCTTTTAATCAATTAGTTTCTTAAGATGCTTTATCTGGTTTTTAGACATCTTTTTTGCTTTGTAACCACTTCCGTCATTTCTTTTTGGTTCGATATTGTTCTCCTTTTTTTTTTAGTATATTAGATTTTAGTATGTTTTTTATACATATTAGATTTTAGTATGTTTTTCATACTAAAATCTAATATGTATAAAAAACAAAAATGAAAAATAGTTACAATAACTTTTGTATTGTTTTTGTTATAACAATACATTGAAATCCTAAAACTATTGTTTTGTATTGCTGTGATGTAAAACAACTACAATAACTTTGTATTGTTTTATTGAAAAACAATTAGTATTGCGGCATGTTGTATTACTATTTTAAAGTCCAATAGCTATTGTATTTTAAAGTTTTTAGATTCTTTTTCCATCCATTTATTATTAATTGTGCACTAGAAAATTTAGAAGCGCTCATGATGATTGTTTTAATCAGTCATTTACTATAAATTTATTATAAATTTATTATAATAAATTTATAGTTTTATAAATTTATAATAAATTTATAATAAATTTATAATAAATTTATTATAAATTTATAAATTTATTATAAATTTATAATAAATAATAAATTAATAATAACTTTATAATAAATTTATAATAAATTTATAATAAATTTATAATAAATTTATAATAAATTTATAATAAATTTTTAATAAATTTATAATAAATTTATAATAAATTTATAATAAATTTATAATAAATTTATAATAAATTTATAATAAATTTGTAATAAATTTATAATAAATTTATAATAAATTTGTAATAAATTTATAATGAATTTATAATAAATTTATAATAAATTTATAATAAATTTATAATAAATAATAAATTTATAATAAATTTATTATAAATTTATAATAAATTTATTATAAATTTATTATTTATTATAAATTTATAATAGATTTATTATAAATTTATTATAAATTTATTATAAATTTTATTTATTTTGAGAAGTGAAGCGAAGCCAGGAAAGCCAAAGAAGTATATATATTATGTATACTTAATAAATATTAAATTCAGGGGTGCACATGAAAATTTTGTTTTTTTTGAGTTCAATAATATAATTGTTTAAAGAATAATTTATTTAGAATTAATACATTAATAATATTTATTCAAAATCATAAAAATAAATAATTTTTTTATATGTTTGTAATTAAATAATTATTTATAAGTGAAATTTTTGATTTTTAAAAAATTTTGTCTGATAAATTTTAATAAAAACTGATATTGAAATGTTTCAGCTGATGATGACATCTAAACTAATTGAAAAACAACATAAAGCGCATGAAAATAATATACTTTTATTATTATAATTAACCATTAATGAGTAATAAGTTACAGGATAATGGAATCAGGAAACCATTGACCTGGGTAATTTTATATGAGATTGTCTAAACATGTAAACTATTTTAATTCGCAACAATTTTTTCTACATTTTCAGATTACTCATCACCTATTACACCATACCGTTAAATTTTGTAGGGCTTTTTTTCCTTTGAAAAATGAGGCATTTTATAATACCAAGTAGATATTACTCTTGATTTATATAACAAAATTTTTTTATGACTTCACAACTAGACCCAAAAATCCAGCTACTATATGGAACACATACAGCCTTAAACAAAAGACAAAGTTATATTAGAGTAAGTGTTAGTTGAGTAATTATTGAAATATTTCGATAGGTCCCTAGGTACCCTATTTCAAGGTCACACGACTCAGTGACTGGACTATTAAAACATTTCTAAGTTTAGTTCACATTGCAATAACAATAAATTGTTATTGCAATGTGAACAAAAGATGTAGAAATGTAAAGAAGAGGACTTAGTGAGAGTGTTGCCATTCATTAATATAGGAATGTCAACAATATTGTGATAGTTATTTGCTAAGTTTTAATGGAGTTAAAGTTCGCTAGCCACTGCAAGCGCCAATCTGTTAAAGAAGTGAGATAAGGTTTAAGATCAGCTGCCTGACTTAATCAATTTAAAAGAGGACTTTTTGTTAAGACAAGAATATAAAGTTGAGTCATAAGCAAAAAGAGCAACTTTAATGTAAGGTTGTCAGGAAGATCATTAATGTAGATAAGAAACAAAGCAGGACCAAGGATAGAACCAAGGAGGGAACCCAGAAGTGTTATTAGAAATGAAAAAGGGTGTTGGCCTTCGAGGATAACTTTGTGTAATGTAGTTAGAAAGAAACAATTTGATATTTTCAAAAATTTTTCCAGACACACCATAAGAAACAATCTTATGACCAAATCTTGTTGAAAGCTTTAGATATGTCAAGAGCGATAGCCCTAACTTCTCCACCCCCATAATACTTGATACAATCTTTCAGTCACAGTTAGCAAGTCAGCCCTACAACAAGAAGATAGAAAAATTGCAATGATTGTCTGACAGTAAGTTATTTGGCTCAAGATGGTGATGTAAGAAATTAGTTGATTAAATGCTCAAAGACCTTGCTAATAACAGAAAAAAGATTGGATAATAATTGGCCAAAAAAAAATGTTTTTTTTTCTCAAAGTAGTTATTCTTTTGAAAATAATGAAAAAATGATAACAATTAGATGCACAAGAAGGTAAAAACCATGGAGATTTTACTTGGAACCAACAAGAAGGAATAAAAGCTTCCATTCCTGCATGAATCCAGGAGGTTACATTAAAGGACCATGAAATAAGGTACTAAGAAATTTGAAATAAAACTGCATTTAATTATATATAATGCATATAAATACAAAGAACTGTTGTTACAATAAATATATTTTTACTTTTAACAATTGAAATTCTAAAAAAAACATGTTTTTAAATGTTGCAAAACCGTTTTATAATTAAGACTTTTACAATTTACAAATTTGAGAAATTAACCATTACACTATAACAACTTCTATAAACCACAATAAGGAATAAATAAAATTACAATTTTAATGTCAAAAAATGTGAAAAAGTTGAAAAAAACTAACACCTTAAGCAATTTTATTTCAAGACCTTTAATAGTTGGTTAGACTTATGTTAGAAGGTAAATATAGTAAAAGAAATCTTTGAATGGTTTAATCTTTACCCCATTATACATAAGTTTATGTCATTTAAATCAAGTTTATGTCATTTAAATCAAGTTTATGTCATTTAAATCAAGTTTATGTCATTTTATGGACTGCAGTGCTCATTATTTTTTTGTTAGAATTGTTTCATTGTACATTAAATCATTTTTACATTTAAGTTTTAATTTTATTTATTAAATGTTTAATATAGCGGAAAGTGTTGTAATGAGTTTTTATTTGTTTTTATTGTTTTTAGGTCGGGAGGAAAAATGTTGATTGTGCAGATAAAAGAAATAAAACACCTCTGGTATTTAACATTATATGATAAACTTAAATAAATATAATTTCAATAGAGGAAAATATATATATATATATATATATATATATATATATATAAATTTCCATACATTAAAGATAAATAAAATGGCTTTTTATAGATTAGATCATCTTGAAGGTAGTGAATTACTTTTAAAAAAAGTGCAAAGTGTAAATTTTTATTTTTTTTTTTTTACGACTTTTTAACTACAAGGTTATCTAAATAGGCATTTTTGTAAGAAACAAATAATAATTATAAAATAAAATCTAATAAAATAAATTCATATTTTAATGGTTTTTATAGAATTTTTTTATTATAAATAGTTTTGAAACTTTCTTGAATAGGTTTTAGTAATCTACAATTTTAAGCTTTGGTATTTGGTAAGGAAGTGGGTCTATAAAAAATTAATTTTATATAAAATTAAAAAAATTAGCTGTGTAAAACCATTTTGAAATACTTTTGCTCACCTAGTAGATAATTCTTTACATGAGCAACATGAAACAAATATTAAAATCTGTGTTGGAAAAACTTCATTTTTCAATATTATAAAGATATGTTCATGATTGAAACACACATTTGATGCGAGTCTGAGTCTACTTGATGTGGCACTGCTCAGCTTGAAGCTTGTTAAGTTGAGCACTGTAGGTTACTGCTATAATAGTGGTGTTTTGTCAAAGTAGTTCCCAGTATCCTAATTCTGCTCATATTTTAACAAACTGGCTGATCCAGCACTACCCACTGGCACTTCTTGATGTGGTTTGCACAGTGTATCCACTTCTCATCTCCCATGTATGGTCAAGCCAGTTAATTGTACGGTGCAGAAACAAGAGATTCATACAGGTGTTCATATGCTGACCTAGCTGAATAGCATTCAGTTCATTTGGTATCCAAATAATAAATTTTGGATCTTTTTTATTTTGTGTAAGTGGTTTTCTATAGTACCATAAATGTATCCAAGTTTGCTTGCTAAGTAGCATTTAGTTAATCTTGGAGTGCTTTTGATTAGCTGGTTTAAATGCCCAGGAATTATCTTTTTCCGGATATTTCCGGAATTCCGGATATTTTTAAATTTTTTTATATTTTCCGGATAATTAAATAATTTTCGAAAATACAATTTATAAAATTTTTTCTGTTTATTACTGTCATCAAATGAAACAGTAACAAGTAAATATAAACAGTAAATTTGTTGTCAATAAATTACGGAACGCTATATTTAGTTAACAAACAAAGCCAAAAAAAGATGAAAAGATTTCCCTCGCAGAGTAAATTAAAAATGAATAAGCATTTTAATTAAAGTTTAAGAAAAATCCCAGCGCAAAAGTGCGAATGATCTCCTACTTTTAAAATAAAATGCGTGTCATAAATAAAAATAATCAAAAATAAATAATCAAAAATAAAATGCGTGTCAGCGATGCGTGTCAAACTCTTCTCCTTTTTAAAAATATTGTAAATTTACATTTTTTAACAAGCTCTTTTAGCTATTATCAAAGAGATTTCTTTTTTTATTGTTAAAAACTTTCTTTTTTCAAGTAAATCACTTCGCTTATGGACTGAATCTTTTTTCAGTTTGTTTGTCGGTGGTTCAAAATTTACTGCATCATTATTTCGTTTTCTGTCCAGTCGTACCATTGCAAGTCTCTTTTTGTACACACTTCTTGAAAGTGTCATTTTTTCGCATAATTTCTTATTAATTAAAAACTTTAAAAAGTTTTGACGATGGTAGAATAAACGGTACTCGTTTAGAAATCAGTTTTTAATTTCCGTCAAATATGAGAAATATCGTTAAATTTAAACTCTTTTGAGATTAGTAAAATCTAATTCTAGACAACAGTGAAACAATGTATAGTTTGATCTAAGAATAAGAAATTTGGTATGACCTTCAACTAGTAGAAACTTCTATTAATCTTACAGTTACTATAATACCGTGGTGTAACATTATGGTCATGCGGTACAACTTGTTTTCGTAAAGGGTGAAAAAAACTTATAAAAAAAATTTATTATTACTGACTAAGATTAATTTTTTTGTTAGTAATAAGTTATTTCATACAAATAAGTGTTATATAATAAAACTATATTCTAAACTATAAGGATTTTATTCTATGTAATTATTTTAAAGAAATCTAAACATATGTACTTTGACTAAAGGTCAAGTGAATCAAATTGCTTTTAAATGCCATTACTAGGTTTTTAAAAACATCGCATTTCGAGGCACGTTTTCTTTTCAATTCAAAAAGTGCCTGTTAAAATTAATTATATTTTTTTAAAAAAAGTCACTTTTTTAAAAAGATTTAAAAATACGTTTTTTTTTTTTTAATTTAAAAGATTTTAAAAAAATCATTTTTTTAAATCTTTTTAATTTTGAATCGTATGAATGATCACGTGAATCATTAATAATGCCTCGCTTTTTGTTTATCATAGTTAAAATAAACTTAAAATTTAAAAAGTTTAAACTTTTTTAGTTTTTGAACGTAGAGATTTTTTTATAAAAGAAGACTTTGTAAATTAAGTTTAAAACATTTTAAACTCTGAGTGGAAGAACTAATTGTAGAAAACTAACTGATTACAGAAAAATAATTCAATATCTTTTTATTTTTTATTTATTTATTTTCTTTTTTAACATATTTATTACAAAAGATTTCTAATTTTTTGTATTTTAGAAGTCTGGTGTTTATTTTTATTATTAGTTCCTTTTTTTTTTACTGCAATTGAAGTATGCTCCGAAAATAGTTAAAAAAAATCATTTATATTTTCCAAAAGTTGGTGTTTTACAGGTAATAAAATGTTTACTGAAAGAAGTTGGCAAGCAAAAGTCTCGGATATATGTCGGTTTATTTTGTAAAATTACTACAAAAAAACCAAAACGCTCAAATAACGTCTATGGGATTTTAGTTATGGTGGCGCCTCTGATCTCTAACAACGCGTTAAACGTTTATCTATTTGTATATCTTTGGTGAATTGAAGCAATATTTCATTATCCATTATGTATTTAAATGTATAAGTGCATGTCTAAAACAGTTTCCGCATTGTTTAACAGCATTTAAATATAGTCAAGGCCGGCGCGATAGGGAGGTGTGGGCAAATGTCGTTATGGCAGTCGGTAAATTTTAAAAAACGAGGACTTTTTTTTTTATTTTTTTTTTTTTTATTTTTTTTTTTTTTTAAACGGCAAAAGTTGTAATGGCACCCCCACCCCCTACGTGACCCCTACTCGCGCCGGCCCTGAATATAGTTTTCTACTTCTTCTTTGACTTTATCTTCTTCTTATTATTATTATTGTTAAAATTTTATCATTATTATTATTCTTTTTTTGATGAAAAAACTATGCAGTTTTTTATTTATCTATACGGTGAATAAGGTGAATTTTTTATTTATCTATACGGTGAATAATACTCTTAAACTGGCGTAATATTATAGTAATATAAAAGAATGGAGGAGAGCACGCCCCCTCCCTCCTTGTTAACATCTCTTTGTAAACTCCAGATATTACAAAAAAAATTTCCGGATTTTTTCCGGATATTTAAGGAAAAAAAATCTCCGGATTTTTATAATATGGCCAGGATAATCTATGAAATGCCTGAAGTGCTCAAATTTCTTTTTAAGTCCTTCAAGTTTAATAGATCTGCCAGATCCAGGTTGATCTTGCTATGTTAAGTCGTCAGGAAAGCGCAAAAAGTAACAAATCGTCATTTTCCCAGACATCCAGACCTGAACAATCTAACTGCATAAATTCAGTTTGTCTGCTGAGTGCTCAGACTAAAATTCTTGAAGCAATTCTGTATATGGTCTTTTTTTGTTTGTTTGTTGCAAAACAACTGTTTTTGATCAAGTTACAATGATAAAACTTAATTAATTTTCAGCCAAACCAATATATAAAATAGTTCAAGTTTTGTATCTTTGTAAATTTGTAAATTTTATTTCTCTTCCCTTGCCTCTTTTATCATAAATGTATAATTTTTTTTTACAACTTTAAATTTATAAAATGTTTACATCTTTTTAAGTTTTATGCGATTGAGAAAAAGCATTTAAAGACAGCTCAATTTCTTGTGAAAGTTGGTGCTGATGTTCATCTTGCAGTAATTTTTTTTGATTTATTTTCACATGTTTATTGTATAAAAACTAATAAAACTTGTATTAGTTGTTTATTTCTCAGTTTTCTTTTGTTATGTCAAGAGGGTGTTGTTATGTCAAGAGGGTGTTTTTGTTATGTCAAGAGGGTGTTTTTGTTGTTGATAAAGATAAGTATTTTGTTATTTTTTTACTTACTATTTTTTACTATTTCAAACTTTTTAACTTTCTATCGATTTTTAACTATTTACGTCACAGAACGCTGATGGAATGACTTTGCTTCATATTGCAGCAAGAAATGGAAATTTAATTTTTGTAAAATGGCTTGTTAGTCTAGGTGTTTCTCTAAATCAACAGGTTGTTGTTTTTAATTTTTATTTTTTGTTTTGTAACTTATACTTTCTTTAAAATTATGTGCTGTTGCCTATACAAATAGTTTTGTGTTTTTTAACAGTGTGCAATTGTTTTTAATTAAACTGAAATTAAAAATTTGCGCATTTGGTTTTTACAATAAATATTTTAGGATAATTATGGTTGGACAGCGTTAATGTGGGCAACAGAGCACGATTCAAATGCAGAAATTATAAAATATTTGATTAAGATTGGAGCGCACACAAATGTTCTTGATAATGTAATAAAATTAAATTTATTCTTTATATACTACTATTATTATATTATTATTCAATTATTATTTATTATTAAAATATTATTACTAATTTTTAAATTATATTTATTATTACTCAATATTTGCACTAATTATTTTTCTATCTAGTAATATATGAAATGATTTATTATGATAAGGAATTTTTTTATCAACAGACTTATTTCTAGGAGATGAATATATGTCTTCATTGGGCAGCAATGACATCTTCTTTTGAGTGTGTTTGCGAGCTAGTTAACAACCCATTGTATTCACATATAAATGCTTGTAACAGATTTGGAGAGACTCCTTTGTAAGAAGTTTTAGTGTTTATTTTTCATCTATGTCAACTGTTTTTTTCAAATAATATAATGAATTTTATAAAAGTAGTATCCAACTTATTAAACATATTTATTTTAAACAAATATTTTTGTGAACATTATTGTTCATAGAATAAGTGTTTTATCTTTTTTCTACCTTTTTTCTCTTATCTTAAAATTTAAAAAAATAAAATTAAGTTTATTATTACTGAGTTAAATGTTAGATGATATTATTAGAGTTAAATGTTAGATGATATTATTGTTAAATGTTAGATGATATTATTAGAGTTAAATGTTAGATGATATTATTAGAGTTAAATGTTAAATGAAATTATTAATTTTTTTTTCAACAAATGTTTTTTCTTGTAAGCTATTTTTTTAAGGCGCTGATTGTTTTCCATTTGCTGATAATAATAATAATAAAACCATAATTTAAAAATGTTACTTTTTTATTTCTTTATCTACAAAGCTATATGTTTGGCCATAAATAGCAGATATGAAAATTTTTTAGTTATTTTTTCAGAATGTTGTGATAACTTCAAACTTGTTATTTGAAATTTTTGTAATTTCATTTAATAATTTTTAATAACAATAAATAACTCATGTCTAGAAAGTTTAACATGTACTCTACTATGGTTGAAAATAAAATCTGAATAATAGAAAGAAACTAAATTATATTGGTTTCAAAATAAAACATTAAAATTAGATTTTTTTTTCTTGTTTTCTGTTAATTTTTTTGATTTGCTAAAAATCTATTTTGTATACATAGTTTATATAATGGTTAATTTTATATTCCAGACACATTGCTGCTAAAATGGATAATTACCACATTGTTCAGTAAGATTTATTTCCTTTAAATTAAAGAAATAATTTAAAATCATTTTTGCTGACTTTTTATTTATTTTTGTTATTGATTAAAGGTTTTTGCTAGCAAGTGGAGCTGATCATACCATTAAGAATTTTAGTGGATTAACTGCACTCAATGCAAGTAACAATTTTGTTTCTTTGCAACATGATTATTTTGTTTTCTTAGATGTTTTAGATATAATATATTGTTTCATTCAATATTTACTTTTAAAAAGTTGTTTTGGGGCTACAAATGTCATAATGATGTAAGGATCCTTCATAGTAATGCATAGTAACCATTATGGAATTGCTAGGAGTTATTATGGCTAAAAATGGATTTATTACATTGATGAAAAGAAAACAACAAATAAAAAAAGCCTTTAAATTAATTTTTTTAGTTTGATATATAAATAATAATAATTTAATTGTTTATTAAAAAGTTTTTGCTTTTCAGGTTTGTCCAATTGGTTCTAAGACTTTTCATTGTATTCGTATTCGAGATATGGTTGGAGAAGTACAGAAAACACCTTATTTTTACCTTACGTAAGCTTTTAAAAAAGTAAATATTTACAGCAGTTTAACAAGTATAATTTTAGACTATTAGATTTTTATATTTTTATTTTGCAAGATTTTTATATTTTTATTTAGATAGATTTTTATATTTTTTAATATGATTTTATAGTATTTTTTAGTAAAATCGCTTAAAAGTTATTTCCATATAATCACTAAATTGGTATATGCAGTTATATTATAATATTATTAAATATTAAACTAGTTATTAATATAAATAAAGATGTACATATGTAATGAATAATGCAGTACAATTACATGTGTTGCTTTCTAAATTATATGTGGTACATAAAAAATTATAGATTTTTCATGTAAAATTAAATATTATGGTTGTAGAATTATACATAGTGCTTTCAGTATTATATGTTTACATACAGAATTCAACATGTGTATATTCACAAATGGTTTAAACAGAACATATACATGGTCTGTACAGAAGCGTATACATGGTGCATTTAGGTTATACATGACTATTTATCAAAGTATAATTAAATAATGTACTTGTTGTATACATTTTTATGAAAGGTAATAAGATTTGATTTTTTCAAAATTAAATATAGGTACTAATATACAAACTGATAAATAGCAGTTCTTGCAACAGATAATTATACCTAAATTGTTTAAAATGTGTTAAAGTTAATTTTAAAGAGTTATTTTATTTTCGAAAGTTTAAAAAAGTACAAAAATATTTTGATTCAATTAATTTTTTTGTTTTAAATGAAAATTATTTGGACTCTTTCCCCCTAGAAGATTTCTATTTGCTAAAAATCACAATTTAATAACTGGTACTTATAACATCTAAACACAATTTAGGTAAGTTTGATGTTAGTACCTGTTACACAAACAGCTATTTCTCAGCAAGGGTGGTGTTATTACCTGTTTTTAGTTCTGAAAAGCTTTTTAAAATTAAGAAATTCATGACTGAAAATTTAATAAATGTTATAAGAATTATTTAAACAAACACAACTATGTTGCGTAGCAACCTATTTTCTTTAATCAAAAGTTGAGTTATTTAGCACATTTTTATATTTTAGGTATAGTGTGTTTATATATTATACATTACTAATTAAGTTTTTTATACTAAATGATATATATTGTACCGGCCTCACAATTAAGATCGCCATTCAGCATAGGTAATCACAGACCTCATTTCTATGTTTATAGTAACCCCTTTATGTCAAATATTTTGTGCCAACCTGATGTTGACTTCTAACACTTTAAGATTGGTAATTTATTGCCGACTTCATTTGTTTTAAATTCAAAGGCTGATTGTGTAATAGTTTATTATATTTTCAATATTTACTATGTTATATATTTATTTTGTTTGATGTTTAATATTTTATATTTTACATGCTATTATTTTATATTATTATTTATAAGTAAACAAATATCACAATTATTTAAATATATATAAACTATTATATTGCAAATTTTTGTTAATTTTATAGTAAGAAAACTGTAAATATTTCTTTAAACAGTGCTGGTTGTTTTCATTTAATATATCTTTATTTTTTGGCTTTTTCATTGTCTTTCATCATATACTTGTCATGTTTTTTCTTGAAATCGATAACATTCTTAGCTGATAAAATGTTTGCGAGTATGTTACAATTTAATACCAATCTATATGTAAATGAATTATTTTGTGCATCAAAATTTTTCACAAATTCTTTTTTAATTCTTAATTTTTCACAACAAAAACGTATGCTGGTGCTGATACATTGATTTAATCCGCTTGATTAAGGTTATTAACTTTTGCTGAAACTATTCTATTAGTTATTAAAAATACTTGATAGCCTTTCCTCAAGTTCTTCTGTCTTTTAATGTTGCGATATTAAATATTTTCAGTCTGGTATTTTCATCAAAATTGTGAATGTTTGAAACCAATGTTGTAGCTTTCTGTTGCAATTTTTCAAGTGCCTTAAAGTCGTATTGATAATGCAGATTCTAAATGATACAATATTATAAGCTTTTTGTTTCAATTTTTTAAGTGCCTCAATACTTTAAAGGGTTCAGCAATTACTAAATAAATACGCTTTCAAATTTTTATTATGAAAATGTTTATTTAGTTCCTAAACTGAAACATTGTAAAAAGGTTAAATTTTTAAAAGTACAACTTTGATTTTTATCAAGTCTTATGATAAATAAATCAAATGCTGCATGACTGTGAGCTTGAGGAATTTTAGCCCATTCCCAACAAAGGGTTGATATTAATGAGTTCCAATTTCTATAGTTTTTAGAACATACTTTGGCTTCTAGAATTCTCCAAATGGTGAATGATGTAAATCATTAAATAGTGAATTTACATTTGCACTCAACCAATATTGATTCACTTGAGCTTTGTGTGATTGTGCTGAATCCAGTTGGAAATTCCATGTTCTGTTACCAAAAAAAGCTTGTGCCTGTGGCTAAAACAACTTTCAGGGCTAATTCTCGATACACAGTTGCATTAATTTTGACACTAGATTCCTAAGAAATCAATGGATAATATCCATCAGAGATAACTGCAGTCCATACTATTACTTAAGGAGGTGAATGACAGTGGCTACACAAATATTTAAATTTTCATTTTAATCTTCCTTGTAGCCAAACACAATCATTTTGTTTAATTATACTTTGCTGAAAGGTAAAAATTTTGTTTAATTGGAAAATAATATGGGCAGTTCTTGAGCCTCATGCAATTGTTTTAACAATTTTGCTCTGTCTCTATTGGTATCCTTATCTGTTTTTTTGTAAGGTCATGAACTATCTATATATAGGCTTCATTAGAAGATGGTTTTTCAATATTCATGGAATGCTTCTATCAGATGCATGCATTTTACGAGACTGATTCACATCTCTTTCTTAAATTTTTCCTCCAAATAGAGTGCAAAGACGCTTTTATGTTAGACTTCTATGGCACTTAGAGCAATTATATAATACACAATTTATGCTTGACCATTCATGTCAACAATAATCTAACCTAACTTTTTGACAAAAAACAATCACCCATATTGCATAAACAACCACCAATATTGCATGCTTGTAAAGATGGTTACAGATCAATTGTTGCACCTTGTATTGATGGATTTCAAATGGATAGATTCCAAAACTTGAATAGAATACTATAGATGTGGTCTGATATATCCTTTATAAATTATATCAAACATTTTATTGTAAATTTTAGAAAATGTGTTTTGCATAACATTTAATACATTTAACAGCATTAGCTGTTTCAATTTTAAATCCCTCAATATTATGACACCAAGATCTTTGTTTCAGATATGTTGATAAAGAGATTGGGTTGTTAACAGCCATACCCATTGAATAGTTAAAATTTAAATTTTTCCACAATGCAATTTTTATTATTGAAATACATTACCATTGATTGATATCATTTAGTGTATTTGTAGTGTATTGATATCATTTAGTGTATTTGTAGTGTATTGATATCATTTAGTGTATTTGTAGTGTATTGATATCATTTAGTGTATTTGTAGTGTATTGATATCATTTAGTATATTTGTAGTGTAGTAAATTATGAAAGTCTTTATGATTTTATTGATCGAACTAGTTTTGTATGATCAGCATTTTTATAGGTAATTTAATATGTTTTGGTATATTGTTAATAGATATAATAAATTGAAGTAGTTCCAGTACGCAACCCTGAGGAATTCTACTTAAAATGAACTTCCATAAACTAACATGAACACCTAAAATGACCCATTGTGTTCTTTTTGAAAGAAAATTTTTAATCCAAGGCAAGACTTTTCCAGATATTCTATAGGCTTCAAGTTTCTGTTGCAATCTTATATGTGGTGCTTTAACAAACACATTAGCCAGGTCTATAAATACTTTATCAACAGCTTTATATTTATTAATTCCATTTGTTATATGATCTAAAGCTTCTAATAGACTAGTAAAATATTTTTTAACAAAACCATGTTAATTTATTGAGATCAAATGGTTGTTTTCTAAATGCTCCGTAATTTTTTTTAATAATCTTTTCAAGAACTCTACATGATATCAATGTTAATGAAAGAGATTGGTTGTTTGATAAGGTTAGATGAATAAAGTCTATATAATAGCTCTTTTTCATTCTTTAATAGGTTTAATAAAATATATAACTGAATTATTTTTGAATTGCTTTTAGAATTTATTACTAAAGCTGTTTTATAAGCAGTTTTGTCTAAATTTTTTGATCTTTTTTTTGACAGAGTTTCTTATTAACTTATAACTGTATTTTAATTTCATTCCATTTAAAATTCAAATTCTTATCTCATAGAAATTGTTTTGTTTTTAACAATTGTTTTAGTTCCTTAGTCATCTAAGATTTTGTTTTCTATCTATATTTATTATATTTTGTTTTCTATCTATATTTATTATATTTTGTTTTCTATCTATAGATATTAAATTTTGTTTTTATCTATATTTATTATATTTCATTTTTTATCTATATTTATTATATTTTGTTTTCTATCTATATTTATTATATTTTGTTTTCTATCTATATTTATTATATTTTGTTTTCTATCTATATTTATTATATTTTGTTTTCTATATTTTTGTTTTGGAATAAATAATTTTGAGTCTGATACTCTCATTTGTTTAACAAAAATTATGTGTCACTTTATATTGGGGTAATCTCTTTATATAAAAGCTTTATATTAAAATCTCTTTTAATCATAAAACCATTAGACTATTTCTTATCTAACTTATGGCTAATGCTTTCAAATACTTTTTTAAACCTAGAACCAACACAAAAAATAAAAAATTGAAGGCTAGCAGTCAATTCGATTGGCTAACACATAGAATTGACAGTCAACTGTTTTTATTACCCAGTCAAAAGTTCAGTAAGTGTTATTTTTCAAAATACTTACTAAACTTTTGTAATTAAAAAAATACTTTATGCATTAAAAATATTTTAAAAATACTTTCGACATTTTGAATCAATTCATTGCTTTTTTAACAACAAAATTTTACGGTAAATAACTAATAGCAATCTATAAATATGAAATAAAAAAAATATATAAATTTTATTGTTTTTTTTTTTAATTTATATTTAAGTTTTTGTTATATATTTTTTTTATTTTACATTTTTTATTTATATTATAAATAGTAATCTACTTAACAGTTTAAAATAATTTTAGTCTAAAATAGCTAAAATAGATTAAAAATTGATTAGTAATTGATAATAAAAACCATTAATAGTTGTATTAATTTTATTGATTGTATTGTACATAAAGTATTAACTTTATTGCATATATAAGTGTTTTTTATATAAGTTTTCATTCGTCCACCTCCTTTTTAATAGTTTCTGCAATTATTTCTAAAAGAAATATACTCTTTTTAAAATATAAATATATTAAAGAGGGAACCAAGTTTCTGAGCTATATATTAAATCAGGTAAATTTATGGTAACCCTTGCTTCAAATTCATTAAAGTTGTTTAAAGAAGTAGCATTTGTGTAAAATATTTAAGTTACTTGTTTACTTGATTAAAGTTGCTTTGAGTTTCTTTGAGAAATTTCTGATTCAAATTTTTTATTTGATAATTTTTTTTGATTAAGTTTTTATTATTTTTGTTTGGCAAATATGTTATGATTTTATTCTTTTGGGTATCAGTCAGATATTAACTGAACTGGTAATAGGTATTTTTGAGTTTAACTACCTTATTATTTCTAATATATATGATAAGTAAAAATCTCCACCTGAATTAATATTATTTTTCTCATTGCACACTTCTCTTAATTCTTTTCTTTTTCTAATTTTAGTTCTCTTAATTGTTTCATATTAAATCTTTCAGTTTGGGTTTGATTGATGATTTGGATCTGGATTGATAAATACTTATTCTTTTGCTACGATATTCTTGATGATTTCTTTCAGCTACTTTTAACAAACTATCTTTTACAAACTACCTTTAACAAACTTCCTTTAACAAACTTCCTTTAACAAACTTCCCTTAACAAACTATCATTAACAAACTTCCTTTAACAAACTATCATTAACAAACTACCTTTAACAAACTTTACATTACTATTACTACTATTTTTAGGCTTCATTTTTATAACACTTTAACATTCACATTTAATTTGCTTATTACCTTATTTATTAAAACGTTATTTTCTTCTTTTTCTGTTGTAGAATCTGCTTTAATAGATGTAGATAGTCCAGGCATAATATTATTATTTTTCCTCTCTTTCTCTGTCTCTCTCTTTCTCTCTCTCTCTTTTTTTCATTGTTAACGATCAAGTGATTTAAATCAAGTAACAATATTTTATTTAGTTTTTATCTACCTGCTCCAATGTGCTACTGGTTTTCTGGTTTTCTAAAATCTTAACTTTTTCAGATTCATTCTCCTTTTCCAGCTTTTTTTATTCTGACAAAGTTGACGGCATCCTTCCTCTTCAAATCAACTATTCTATTTGCTAGCTCCTCAAGCTGCTATCTTTAATATCAGCATTCTCTTATTATTGTCTTAATATAATTATTATATTATGATAAACTTATTATTACCTTTATCCGTTTGTTGTATATTATTCAAAAAAAAAGTAATATATTAAAAAATTTACATTTGTAAAATAAATATTCTTAAGTAAATAAAGTGCTTACTAGTATTTTGTAATAATGTGGTATTTAAACAATTTTCTTTATTCACAAAGATTTCTTTGGCTTCAATTGGTAGGTTAAACTTTTTTTTTTTTTGTCTTTGGCTTCAATTGGTAGGTTAAACTTTTTTTTTTTATATAAGCAGCACAAAAACAGCACTATTGCTGGGTTGTTTTTTTTATGCCACCTGTAAAAATATTGAACAATTTATTATTCTTTGTGTCCCTTGATGATCTTTCTGAAGGATAATTTCTTTGAGTTAGCTGATGTGCTTGGTACAGGATAGCTTTTGCTCTCTGGATTAGGTTCACTTCTGTTCCTTTACTATATCATTTAAAAATGTATTGCAAATTGATTAGCTGATGAAAATTTGTGATATTTTTATAAATATGTTGTGTCTGTCAATATTTGTAGTATCACTAAATGCTGCATTGTAACAAGAATTAGACAAAAAAAAGCTGAGATTTCTTATCAAATGTACACTTTAATTCTCTTTCAAGTTTAGAAACAAATTTTAGTTTTTTTTATACATATAGTAAAAAATTGGGTATGAAAATATAAATAATTGTGTACCTAGTAAATAATCTCAAAGAAATGATCCTTCAAGGAGATTGTAAAAAGATTTAAAGAACAATTGCTTGGTTAAAATTTATAGAAATAAACTCTAAAGAAAAACTTGAGAAAATTATTTGGTTTTCAATTTAAAAAAAATGGTGTTTAATTTGAAAAAAAATTGTTTTTTCTTGTCATTTTTTTAGTTTTGTAACTTTTTTTAAGTTATGTGGTATTTTAATTAATTTTTACCCTGTTATATTTCATAAAATTATATATATTGAGTTATTTAAAAATTAAAAAAGAGAACTTACCTAAACCCTTTTTATTACCATCCTCAATATAGAATTTCACATATTTCTTTTTTTATATATAATTTATTTGTAGATTATTTTGTTTATTCTATGAATGTTGCTCATTTTTTTTGTCAATACAGATAGTTGTTACAAAATAAATCTAACATAAAGGTATATATATATATATATATATATATATATATATATATATATATATATATATATATATATATATATATATATATATATATATATATATATATCAACCCTCAGAATTAGAGTTGGCAATGCCAAAGATTGATATATATATATATATATATATATATATATATATATATATATATATATTTGGCAATGCCAAAGATTGATATATATATATATATATATATATATATATATATATATATATATATATATATATATATATATATATATATATATATATATATATCAATCTTTGGCATTGCCAACTCTAATTCTGAGAGTATACATATATATATATATATATATATATATATATATATATATATATATATATATATATATATATATATATATATATATATATATATATATATATATATATATATATATATATATATATATATATCAATCTTTGGCATTGCCAACTCTAATTCTGAGAGTATATATATATATATATATATATATATATATATATATATATATATATATATATATATATATATATATATATATATATATATATATATATATATATATATATATATATATATATATCAATCTTTGGCATTGCCAACTCTAATTCTGAGAGTATACATATATATATATATATATATATATATATATATATATATATATATATATATATATATATCAATCTTTGGCATTGCCAACTCTAATTCTGAGAGTATACATATATATATATATATATATATATATATATATATATATATATATATATATATATATATATATATATATATATATATATCAATCTTTGGCATTGCCAACTCTAATTCTGAGAGTATACATATATATATATATATATATATATATATATATATATATATATATATATATATATATATATATATATATATATATATATATATATATATATATATATATATATATATATATATAATAAATGTATGTAAAGTATTATATTATTTATTCTTTATAGTGACATATCAAATGGAAAAGAAAGAATTCCTATCAGTTGTCTCAATGAGGTTAACAAGTATTTTTAATATTGAACATTTTGTTATTTTATGCTCTATCTCTTTAAATTAAAATGTTAAAGTAATATTCAAAATTTTTAAATGATATTTATAATTCCATTATAAATATTTGATTAAATAAAGGAGCGGATATTTAAATAAATAAAATTCATTTTCTACTCTTTTTTTATAGTTAAATTTTAACAATCCGTAATTTTTGTTTTAATTGTTGATTTGGAACATTTTAATTGGTCAGTTAGTTATTTATATGTTTCTTTGCAAAAGTGTTTTTTTTTTAGTAAAAAAAAAATAAATATTAATAATAGTTTTATAGAAAAACATTTTTGCAATTTTTATGTTCATAATATTTTTTGTAACTTGATTCCTTTTTTGTTTTTTGCTTTAACATAAGTTAATTGTCGAAATGTAAATATATTTAAAGTTGGTAATGTATACTTAAGGTTGATAATGAACCATTTCCTAATGATTTTATATACATTTCAAAACCAGAAGAATCTTGTCATTTGAAAGTTAACAGAGGATTTTCTACTGTGAAGGTTTCAAAATTTAGTTTTTTTCATTTTTATTTTGATATATTGTGTACAGCAGTATTTTGTATATAATCTGTTTAACTGTTGAAGATATGATATGATATATATATATATATATATATATATATATATATATATATATATATATATATATATATATATATATATATATATATATATATATTTATCCATCCATCTTTATCTCGTAGTTGAAAGAGGCTTTTATGGTAAAAATAGTCTCTATCAACTTCATTTAAGTGACTTCAACAATTAAGCTACATTTTAATGTTGTCCAAAAGTTAAAACAATTAAAATAATATAGAAGTACATTAAGTTTTATCATTTTTTAATAAACCGCAATATTAACAACTAGTTTTTTAAATTAATAATGTTTTTCCTTTTGTTTTTTAAAACATTTTTAAAACATGTGTGGAGTGTTCCTACATCGACTATTTTATAGCTTGCTGCTGCAAAAAAGTGCTGCTACATGGCTGCTACATCGCTGCTACATTGACTATCTTATAGTCCGCTGCTACAAGAAGTTTTTAAACTTTTTTTTCTTATCTAGTATTAGCATTCTCTGTAAAACTTCAAAGTTCAGTTTTTTATGGCTTCTAAGAAAAAATTTAAAAGCTTTTAATGGCTTCTATTTAAAAGCTTAAATTCTTGGTTATGGTTCATGTTTGCACTTTGTATGTTTTATTCATATTTCATTAGAATACTTAAATAATACTTCGATATTCTTTGTGTACTTAAATTATGTTATGCAATCTATTTAATTGCAATTAACAAGAAAGAAAAAAAAATTTTTTTAAGAATATATTTCTTTTCTATCTTTTAAAATTCTTTTACCCAATCTTTGCTTACTAAACCTGTAGTTCTTTTTTGCAAAGTATTATAAAAGATATAACAATGCGATATCCATATTTAATTCCCAACTTTTGATAATTGTGAATGGTGTGTTGTTTTCGAGATAAGTGACCTGATAACTAATTTTCACATAACTGTGGTGAAGGTATGATAGAATCAGAACATGGAGGTCTGCCTTAAGGAGAATAGTGTAAATTTAACTCAGTGAGAATTTAAGTGATATAATAGTAGCGATAGTTTCATTTAACTCAGTCAAATTAGTTTATTCCATCAGCTTTATTTCTTATAGTAAAAAATGCTATCATAAAGCTTCTTGTAATGTAAATCCTGGTGGAGAATGTTGTTCCCCAAAAATATCAAAGTTGGTTCTTTTCAGGGCACCTTTGACACACTTTCAAAATCAATTAGTCACTTATCTGTGTAAATAGTTAAAACAGGTCAAAGAGTCTATTTTATAGTGCATCTTTTTCCATATATTTAACAAATTTATCATTGAAATAGTTGACACCAATAGCTGAGTATTTAAATGGAATCCAATCTTTTACATTATTAAAGTATATCTATTGTTTGGACTTGTTTGAACCAGTATAGTAACTAGTTTTACAGTTTGTGGCAACACATTTGTTAACCACACACACACACACACACACACACACACACACACACACACACACACACACACACACACACACACACACACACACACACACACACACACGCACGCACACACACATATATATATATATATATTATATGTATATATATACCACTTCTAAACCATCCAGGTAGGTACTTGAATTGTTCAGCAGTAGTCATAGTTGCATAGTTGCAAATTAACAAAATGTAAAAATCTGTCCATATAAGCTTTGTTGTAAGCAAGATTGCAAGGTGGCAGTGGGATTGTTGGTATTTGGGGCTGCTTTGATTTTAATGGAGTAGGTGTGTGTAACAGACCTATACAACCCAAATCAATTGACACTCATATAGAAAGATGTTAGAGAACTGTATGGTTCCATCAGTAAGTGTGTTGATTGATTGAATTTAAGTTGATTGTTTCAACAACTATGTCAGTCGTGGACAAGAAAGGCGTGCGATTGCACTCCAATCTTGACCATGTATGTAATTGTTTTTTTGAAAGCTTGACCACTGCTCTTTAGATAAATAAAAATGCGCTAAATAAAACCAACAAAGTAAAAAAATTATAAACAGGCTAAACTAAATAAAAAACAAACAAAAGAGAAATTAAAAAAAAAAAAATTAAAACCTATAGCTCGAAAAAAAAAAATTGTCTAATATAAATCAGAAAAACTCAAATATATATAACTCTAATAGAAAATTATTTTTAATTATGTTTTAGTTTTATTTTTATGGTAAGGTTGAATAACTCGTCACTTTGATTTGATGAGTTCCTAACTGATTTTTTTTTAATATTAGGAGAATAGCAAATAAACCATTTTTTCGTTTTTTTAAATGTCTAAATAAAAATATTTTTATGAATACTTTTTACTTATTAATGTATTTTTATATATCAATCAAAAAAAGAATACATAAACATTTAAAAAAATTAAAAACTTTTTTTAAAATTCTTCTAATACAAAACCAACGCAACGTGCTATAAAACTTTATAGCACGTTGAGTTGGTTTTGTATTAGAACTTATGATCTTTATTTGATGTTTTTATAAAATTAGGCGAACTCTTTTAAATAAAAAAAAACTTATATCTAATTATCATTCAATAAAAAAATTGTGATGCTCAAGCAGCATATTCTAGATTTAACTGAAAAGAAATTTTAAAAAGCCATTTTATTATTGATATTGTTTTTATTATTATTCTTTAATTTGTTTTTTAGAAAGTTTATTGAAATGCATTCGTTGTCGTTGTTTAAGAAAACAAATTGTTTAAAAAAAATTCATCATTATTCATTAAAAAAAAAACTTTTGAAGTAAAGGTTTTATTTAATATTCTATGAATTTATTTTATAGCGTTTTAAAACTTTATTTAAAAGCTTAATGTAAACAAATTTTATTACAAAAGTTTAAAAAATTAATTTTGTTATGTTTTTAACTATAAAATATATGGATTTATCAAAAAGTTAAAACAATCATTTTTGTTTATAAAATTAATTACACAAACTGTTTTTAAAAACATTCATTGAAAAAAATAAAAAAGTTTTTTTACAATGAATAAATGAAGATATTATTCTTTCGATAATTTAAATATGTCATTTTATGTATACAATCTTTAAAAGCAATTTCTTGCTTTATTACCTTGGAATTTAGCGCATTTTTAAAACGTTTTCAAAAAACCTTAAAAGCCATGGTTAAGTTGTCGCAAAAAATAAATAAACGGGTGGTCAGGAATAGAGAGCAATTAAATGCCTTTCCTGTCCACAACAGATGTATGTATGTATATATTTATGTATGTATGTATGTATGTATGTATGTATGTATGTATGTATGTATGTATGTATGTATGTATGTATGTATGTATGTATGTATGTATGTATGTATGTATGTATGTATTTATCTATGTATGTATGCATGCATGTATGTATATATGTATGTATATATGTATGTATTAGTGATGTACCAATAGCACTTTTTTGGCCGATGCTGATACCAATGCCGATTGATGGAAAAGGCCAATACTGATGAATTAACTAATTATTAAAATTTTGAAAATATAAAATCATTCAATTTAAAATCGTGTATTTTTTTTTCATAGAATCAATACTGGTAAACAAATACTTGAACCCAAATTAGAGCCATATTATTATTTTAAAAGATATAAGAAAAACTCAGTTATAAATATATATATTTTTTAGTTATTTTTATTGTGAAAAGAAAACTTAAAAAAAAAAAAAAATACAATTGTAAAGGAAATTAATTAGTAATTTAGATATCTAAACAACAATCTTATGTTTTTTAGATATCTAAATTATTTTTAGATAATTAAGTTGTTTTTTAGAAATTTTATTTTGTGATGTTTGATCCCCATCACGTTCCTGGTAGTACCGGGTTCAACTTGTTTCTCCGTGCAGCAGATTTGTTTGTCAAGGTTTGTGTTTCGGAATTATAAAGTTGAGAGAAGGCTGTAACTATAACTAAAGTAGCCTCCTCTACTGGAGTGGCCTTCATGACCTTGGGGAGGTGAATTGAAATTATATATATATATATATATATATGAGAGAGAGAGAGAGACAGAGAGAGAGAGAGAGAGAGAAAAATAGAGAGAGAGATAGTATAGTATTACAATCTTTAATTAAACAGCAGAATGCTGTTAAATTAAAGCTTGTAAACATCATCTTAAGAATAAACAATATTGTCTGTAAACAAAGTCAAAATAAACAATTTCTCAAAAAAATTCTTAGTAATGCATTAAGTTTAGTTTATTTATTGTTTAATTATTATCATAATGCAGGGTAAAAATATTAAAATGCCACTGGTTGGAAAATCGGTCAATTAATAAAAAAAGGCCAAAGCCAATACCGATTCAGATTGTGTAAAAAGTGGTTGATTAAGCCCATATCGATGCTGATTAATCGGAACATCACTAGTATGTATGTATGTATGTATGTATGTATGTATGTATGTATGTATGTATGTATGTATGTATGTATGTATTTATGTATGTATGTATGTATGTATGTATGTCTAATTTTATTATCTAATTTTATTAAGTATGTCTAATTTTATTATTATTTTTTATCTACATTTGTGTATATATATATAAATATATATATATATATATATATATATATATATATATATATATATATATATATATATATATATATATATATATATATATATATATATATATATATATATATATATACGCATATATACAGGCCTTGTTTTAAATTAAAAATGCTTAGTGCGTTAAACGCTATATAAGATATTATAAAATTCTCTTTTTTTTTATTTTTTAAAAACACTAGTTTTTTAAATATTTTTATTAAATTAGATTTAAATTAAATCATGTATTTTTTATCAGAATTGAATTATTGTTTTTATGATCTTTGCTTCTGTCTTAAAACATCAATCATTACAATAAAATAAAAACAAAATAAAAATAAACTTTTAATTTTATTCAAATTTTTTTCATTAGTAAATATTAAACATGATTGTAACAAATATTTTTACAAAAATGTCATTCAAAAGTTACTTGACTTTTTTTAAAATTAATTACTTTTTTTATGTATAGGTATAATTTAAAAGTTAAAAAATAACAAAAAGTCTCTCAACTGAAATCGCTTACTGCTTATGTAAAAATGCTTAGGAAATATGTATCGCTCTATGCGTAAGGTTTTAAATCTCTCTCTCTCTCTTTCTCTCTCTCTCTCTCTCTCTCTCTCTCTCTCTCTTTATATATATATATATATATATATATATATATATATATATATATATATATATATATATATATATATATATATATATATATATATTGTATATATATATTGTATATTTATATGACTTATAGCCATGTAAATGTGAAGTGTCTTGTGGTGCTGACTGCAAATGCATAAAATTGTCTGAAAATCAAAAGCTTTGGTATACAGAGGTATTTTTTATTTATTTAAATAATGTTAGTTTATCTTTTATAAATTGAAAATATTTGTTAAATAGAAAGTAATGTTCTGAATAATAATGTTAAATAGATAAAATACTACTAGTAAAAATGATAATTGAAGAATCTCTTTTTTTTTTTTTTAAAGGATGGTAAAATTGATATATCTATTTTCGAGGAAGAATCTCCAGTGCTTTTTGAGTGTACCCCTCTTTGCTCATGTTGGAATATTTGCCCAAATAGATTAGTTCAAAAGGGTATACCATTTCCATTACAAGTTATCAAAACCACGAATAAAGGTGATTTTTTAACAGGATGCATTTAAAAGATTTTTTATAAACTCATTTTACAACTTTATTAAAATTTTATCACTACTCGTTTAATGTATTTAGATTGTCATCACTAATTGCATATTGTCAAATTGTTATTTATATAATAATAGTTAATTTTAAATTTACATCAAAAGCGAATAAAAGATAAATAACCTTTTCTTTTAGGTTGGGGTCTTCGAACACTAAATCCTATTCCATTAGGATCTTTCATTTTATCATATGTTGGAGAGCTTATAACAGATGAAGAAGCTGAAAGGCGAAACGCTGATACATATTTATTTAATTTGGATCTTAAGGTTTTTAGTTGATAAAGTTTTTGTGCATTATATGATAGTTATAATATTATTATTATTTGTATTATTATTATAATAAAATGTTTGTAAACATATAAACATATCAGTAAAAAACTATTGTTAGTATGCTTCCTGTAAATAAAATGTTAAAGTGAATTCAATAATTACTTTTAAGTTGACCTTATAACAATATTGCAGCTTGTCAGGGTTTCTTGTTTTTTCTTTATTTATTTCAGCTTGTCAGGGATTTGTCAAGAAGAACATTTTCTTTTCAATAATTAATAAAAATATATTATAAAAATATGCAAAATGAACTCATAAGTTACAATCATCAAATGATGCAGGTTTTTATTGAAAATGTATCTATTTTCTAGGCAACAAGCTGAAGAGAAATACTCAACCGTTGCTTAGGTTATTTACTAACTTACTAAGTTAGTACATAACCTTTAAAGTTAAGTCAATGATGGTCATAATACTACCATATCATGACTGTTTTAACAAGTTTTTTGATAAAAATAAAAGAATTCGAAATCAAATGAGATCCAATATACACATAAGACAAGTATTGCTATTCAAGATATCTGCTATAATAAAGCATATATAATGACTCATTTTGAGATTTAAAAAGTAATAATGAATAATTAATAAAAGTAAATAATAGTAAATGTTTCTGATCATATTTTAGTAAGTCTTACTGAGAAAGATGCCTTTAATGGAATAAGAATAATTTTGTTTTTATCTACAACACGCTCATAGCAATCAGTTGTTTAGAAAAATAAATATAAGCCCAGATATCACAAAGAAAAATAGTACCAGATATCAGATATCATAAATCAACTTGGTAATAACTCTTTTTAATAGATGAAGCTAAAATGTTTTGTTAAAGCTGGAGTTGAACATATTAGCTTAGTTTAGGCATTAAATATAACTGTTTAATACATAAATATGTATTAAACAGTTAAAAAATTTTAGGGGACTGAGCAAACATGAATCTTTCAAACACGAAAGTTAAGTTTTATTCAATATTTTATTCATTTTAAAACATTATTTGATTTTATAGTTAATTAAAATATAAAATTTACCGTTACAAAAATATTCAATTAGTTTATTTAATTATTAATTAAAGTCTTTTTATTCATATCAAGATAAAGTTTTTTAAATTTACGACAGCAAGAACTATTTTTAATTATGTTTTACTACAGCAAGAACTTTTTTTTTTTTCCATCATGTGTGAATAAGTTTTCTGTTATCAGCTCAACTTCTATTTCAGAAATTTGATTGTCAACCATAGAATAATTATCAGTACCTTTTTTGTAAATTTATAATATATAATAATAACTATATTTGCACCCCTCAATTGACACTTCTAATTTGAGGTACTGTTCTAATTTAACATAATTTCCATAAATTAATATTATAATAATTTAGTATTACAGTAAATAATGTATTATAAATAATAATATTAATGCAATCTAAAAATACCTTGCATAACACCTTACACCTTATATATCTTTACATCACTTTATCCACCCTTACACCTTACATATCTTAGCATCACTTTATCCACCCTTATACCTTACATATCTTAGCATCACTTTATCCACCCTTACACCTTACATTACTTGATCTACTGTTAAACTGATTGCACTTTCATCTACCTAGAAATCTCAACCATAAAAGAGCGCTTATTTTTTAATTAAGAAAATAGTTATACTATAGTGTTCATTTTTTAGTAATTTATTTTACAATATATTTAAACTAAGGTGATTCTTGATTGGCTGAAAGCTTGTGGCTCGTGGTCAGCTAAAAGTTGCAACTTATGAGTTTTCAGTAATATTTAAGTGTTGAAAATAATAACAATATATTAGAATATTATTATTTAAATGGATTTTAAAGCAGAACCATAAAAAAAGGTTTAAAAAAGTTTTATTTGCTGTAGACTTCAGGAGATGAACCGAATTGTATGGATGCTCTCCGCTATGGTAATTGTGGGCGTTTTATTAATCACTCTTGTGACGCCAATGTTAGAGCTATTAAATTATTTACTTCGCATCGGGTAATTTATTCATTTTTTTAAAAAACATTTGAAACTTCTTTTTAAAATATTTTTTTAATTTAAAAGTTAATTTAAAAGTTTAATATGAAAATTATTTTTTTAGGATGTTTCATGTCCTGAAATAGCTTTTTTTGCTTACAAAGATATTAAAGCCTATGAGGAGCTATGGTTTACTTTAAAATTTTATTTTAAACAATTAGATGCATTTAAATATAAATTGCTTACATACACACATACATACATACATACATAAAGTTTTTAAAAATATAACTATATATATATATATATATATATATATATATATATATATATATATATATATATATATATATATATATATATATATATATATATATATATATATATATATATATACACACACTAATGTCCATAATTATTCGAGTGGTTGTACTTTTTGATATAAGATATCAAAGTTTTACTTACTATCGGGAGAGAAACTGAAAACAAGGTCTACCTGAATTGTATGTTATCTTCTAATTTATTAGGTTTACAAAAAAATTAATGTAAACTCTCATTAGATTAGTTCATAATTTACATGCCTTTTTATCAACCTTAGTGACAATAACCGCCATACATATTGTCATTCTACCTAACGACCTATCCATTTTGTCGTAGTCAATTTTATGTCACTAATTAGTAATTTTTTTCCGCATCGCATTAGTTTTTGATATTACTTATAATTCTTACCATAAAAATCTAATAGGAGAAAGATCTATGGTAAATGATTTAGTTTATTAGTATGATTATTTAATTTATTAGCAACCAAAAATAGCATGAAGAAGAAACTTAAACAAAGTTGCCTTACGAGCATAATATTAATTTTACTTAATAATTAATATTGATTAATTAAAATAATTAGTTTATTAAATTTAGTAAGGAACTTAATTAAAATTACTATTTATTTGGAGCTTAAATAAACACAAATGAGGTGCCTCACCGAAAATAAACATAAATGAGGTGCCACACAAAAAAACTAGAATTAGAAATTAAGACTTGGTATAACAACATATTTCAGAGGGTAGTAATAATAACAGCATAACAACATATTTCAGAGGGTAGTAATAATAACAGCATAATAACATATTTCAGAGGGTAGTAATAATAACAATAACATATTTCAGAGGTTAGTAATAATAACAGCATAACAACATATTTTAGAGGGTAGTATTTATATATTTATATATATATAAATTATTTATATATATTAATCTATGGGGAGGCTAAATCTTCCGATAAAGTTTTTAATAAAATTCAATATTTGATCATTCTTGAACTCAGTCAAATAAGTTATAGAATTTTTTGAAAATATGTTTTGGATTTATGCTTTAAGTCATTTTCTTCTAAAAACATAAAAACCTTAACCTATCTTTCTGAAGGTGTAGCATAATTTTTTAATTGTACAAGGAAACTACTTTTTTCATTACTCCCTCTATTTTTATTCACCTGTGGCATTTGAACCAAAAAAGCCCTACACCTTAACACTACGTCCACCATGTTTTACAGAATAATACACACTATTTTATCATACAAGCAAAGTTTTATTTTTCCAGGCAAACTATCTTATTTTGAAACCAAATATTAAAAACTTTGACATATTGGTCCACTTTTACAATCATTGATGGTCAATTTTTTATGTAGTTTTGCCCACTTTATCATTTTTATTATTATTATGATTTTTATCAAAGCATTTTAATACTTTTAAATTATCTAATAGTGCCAAAATAAACATAAAAAATAGTTAAATAAAAAATAGTGTTTTTAAAAAAAGTTAAAAGTTCGAATAATTATAAGCGGTGGTATATATATATATATATATATATATATATATATATATATATATATATATATATATATATATATATATATATATATATATATATATATATATATATCATATATATATATATATATATATATATATATATATATATATATATATATATATATATATATATATATATATATATATATATATATATTATTATAAAATATATATATAAATTATAATTTTAGTTTTAATTATGGAGACTCATTTTGGGATGTTAAAATACGTGACGGAATGTTTTGTAAATGTCTATATGAGTTTTGTCAATATTCTGTAAGTTTCATATTTTCATTTTAGCATTTTTTTTCCATATCTATCTATATATATATATATATATATATATATATATATATATATATATATATATATATATATATATATATATATATATATATATATATATATATATATATATATAATATATATATATATATATATATATATATATATATATATGTATATATATATATATATATTAAAATATATGTATTAAAATATATATATATATATATATATTTATATAGACTAGCAAAAAGCAACCTGTAATAAGGGTTATGGTCGATCTGTTACATAACTAATTTATAGTTGATGTTTTCCACAATTTAATGTCGCAAAACCTTAACTAATACCCTTTAAGAAAAATGCCTTCAACTTGAAAAAATTAGTTCATCTGTAAAATTAACATAAAAAGTATGAGGAGGTAAAATAAATTACCAATAGGTAAAATAATTTTCCAACTACTACTTAACATTGTTTGAGTAATTTACAACTGACATAGGTCATAGCAGTGTAAGGCAGAACCATTTTCTTCGACATTCCTAAGTTAAACACAATGCGTTTTTAGTTACTGATACAAAATAATAACACTTCATCATACTTTAAATTGATGAAAGTATCAACTAAATCCTTGTAATAATTTTTATAGCATGAACTTTAATTAATTTTTAAGATTAAGATGAAGTTAACTTATATTATTCAGGAGTTATCAGTTTTTTGGTATCTCCTTGATTAATTTTTCTTTAGAAAAGAAAAGTTAATCAAGGGGATACCAAAACAAATTAATTAAAATGTTTATTATGAATAACTAAGCAACTGAGTACAAATACATTTCAAACAAATAAAGTTAATTTACAATCAAACACGTGTATAACAAATTTAAAAAAATATGTAAACTTTGATCTTTTATATTGCATTAATGCGTCATATGACAAACCTAAAAAAAAAATTGTAATAGATAAGTAGACATGAAAATTTGTACACCAAGCTGACTAGACCTGGGTCTTGTTAAGTCTGCTCAACACAGACCATTTCTATATTATTTGTTTTGGTCTCATTATTTCATTAATTTTTAGTAAACGGTATTTCGCTACCATTTACTAAAATTTCTTTTGCTACTCTAAATTTAATTTTCCTAAATATTTTGACGCTAATAAAGAATTTTTTTGCTTTAATGGGGCGAAGTGAGTAGAATTTTTTTTATTAAGAGTAATCAAGTTTTTGATAAAGACCTTTTACCAAAATAATAAAAAATAAAACAATAATTTACATATATAAGAATGTTTTCTTTCTTTCCTCAAAAGTTTTGCAAATGCAGACTATGCTAACTAATTAGTTAAATAAATAAAGCTCAATATTAAATGCGCTCGATATTAAAGTAACTTGATATTTGACAAAATTGCTAAACTACAATATTTTCCATGTTATTAAAGGTTTTTAGTTATGACGCCCCATTTACTAAGATCCCCTACTTACAACAAATTTTCAGGCATAAATTAAATAAAATATAAAAAAAAATTAAACTAATTTCATATATTTATATCTTTTTAACTAACAAAAGTTTACAATAAAAGGAAATCATGTTGTTTTTTTTATAAATCTTATAAATACATCATAACGTAAATCTAAAACAAAAAAGTAATGGAATTATGATATCATAATTACAAAAAAAAAAAACACCACATAAAAATTGCAAATCGATTTACCTGTTTATACTAACCTATTTTGAAATTGCAGCTAATATAAATATTTTTCGAAAATGTAACTATAAAATCTGTTTCGAAGTACAAGAGGATTAACAATATTAAAAAAAAACCAAACTAAGATATTAATTGCTTTTTTAGCAAAATGTTGTCTTGGCTTTTAGTAAATAAATAAAAGCAGTAAGTTCCAATAATGAAACTACCTATAATTCATTTTTAACAATAGACACCAACAGGAAGGTTTGTGGTGATAGAAGCCAAGCTGTCTATCAACACAAACCATCACAACAATAACATTACAACAATAACATATAATAAAATCCAGTTAAAATAACAAACTAAATTAAAATATGAAAGGCAAAATTAAAAAACCAAATTAGAGTTAATTATATTTATCTTTTTAGTAAACTTTAATAAATTATATTTGTTTTTATATTCAATATTAGTTATTCAATTATTTCAAATTTAGGACATTAAAGCACCCTAGATTTAAATATTAAGGTTGCATATACTCTCTTATACTCATTACGCTAAACATTAACAGACATCATTATGTAAAAAAGGCTAGACTACTCTAAAAGCTCTAAAGCAGTAACACCGCCTGGCACTAAATGCTGTCAAGTCATATCTCTGCTTTAAGTACACCGCTTGGCTGGTAAGGTTATCAAACTTGCTCAATATAATACCAAGTCACATTACTTTGAAAACATGGAAACAACATAATTTAAACATATATACAACTATAAACAAATATGACTTTATATAACACATTTAAACACATTTTATTACAATAATAAATGACTGATATATCTATCAAAAACTATGAAAAAAAAAAAAAAATAATAATAATAATAAAGTTATACATACAAAATATGCCCACAACCTTTAATAATAAATTTTGGAAATGAAGATCTAAAGACTATAAATTTAATTTATATTTTTATTCTTTTTTATAAATTTAATTTATATTTTTATTCTTAGTTATTAAGAACATAAGAAAATATAACATTATTTGTGTGCAACATATTGTTGACCATGAGAGAAACACATGCAACATAGTTGACCATGAGAGAAACACGGTTTATTACAATATTTGAACAACCAAGGGATAATTATAGTTAAACAATTTAAAGAATTTTTATCTTTAAATAGCAAGCAACTCGTAAAATATATCTTATAAATGGTCATTATCAATTGTAGTATTAAAAAATACGCAAGAGCTCACTAATTACATGAGTTATATCAATTCTCCCAGTAATAATTCTCATTTAAGTCTCATCTTAGAGAGAAAGAGAAAGTGTTTCAAAAGAAGCATGTTAAAAAAAGTAAAAAAGACATGCAATAAATAACAGTAACTGGTTTTATTATGATACCAATAAACAAAATTATTTTTACCTTATATAAAAGTTAATTTCTAGCATTTCTTAATTAAGTTCCAGTTTCTCTCTAATGTTGACTAATGATTAATATAGTAAATTTCACATCTTATTAAATTTACAAAATTAAAACCATGTTTCAACAGTAAGCAAAATAATCAAGTGATGACAAAGACAACTAAAAAAAAAAAGAACACTATTATGTTTGAGATTACAAAAAAAAAAAAATTAAAATCACTTAAATTTGAAACTGTTAATAATTGTTACTATAAATAGTAAAATTCATACTTTGCTTTATTCTTAAGTGTCTAATGTAAAATCAAATTAATAGACATCAACACCGCTTGACACTGAATTCTTGCAAGTAAGTTTCTGTTCATGGAGTAGAATTTCTCACATTTCAATGAAAATTAATTATATCATGCCTAGATCTATCTCTTTCATTTTTTTCATTTTTCATTTCTTTTTTCTTTTTTCTTTGAGATAATATATATATAAATACAGAGAAATATAAAATATACTGAAATATAGGCACATTTATGTATATAAACTTACCTGTCAACAAATTAAAGTCAGTTTTCCATGTTAAATACATAAAGTATATATCTAATATAAAATAAATCCAATATAAAATAAAACAAAATATTAAATATACTCAAATCAATAACAGTTATTTTAAAAAATCTATTTAAAAAAACAAAAAAACAATCGACTTAAAGTGACTAAAAAGCACTTCAGCTCTTTCCAACTGCACTAAAAAATAAAAAAAAATCTTGCTACGCTAAGTTGCCTAGTTTTTAAGAAGCTGAAAACAAATAAGTAAAAAACCAAGAACAAACAAACATTTATTTATTAAAACTACTCTATTTAAACAAATTAAATTAAGCAGAGAACAACATTAATTCTTATTGAAAGCTGAAAAACTTTTCAGCTCAAATTTGCTTGCACACCTTGCTTATAAAACTACTTGAATAAGAAAAGCATTTAGAAAAGCCTAAAAACTACTTTAAAATGGTATATGTAACATTGATCTTTAAATGTTGACTGGACTAATTATTAGTAGATATTTTTAAAAAATCATAAAAATTTACAATGATTTGTTCTTCTATACCACATAAATACATCATATGATAAATGTGAAGTTAAAAAATGTAACGAATAAGTAAATACAAAGAAAAACATCATATATGAATTGAAAATCAATAAACTTGATAGAGATAAGGTGTTGTGATACCAGAGTAGTAGTTGTTAAATATTGTTATTTCATGATAAACAAAATGTATTTATAGCAAAATGATGTCTTGAATGCTTTTTAATAAATAAAAGTAGTGAGTTCTAGTAATGAAACTACCTATTAATCATTTTTAACAATTGACACCAACATAAAGACAAGCCAAAGGTAACAATATTACACAAAAAATTATTAAAGATAATGTTATGTATTTTCAGAATAGTTATATTGAAGGCTAGACAACACTTAGACCTAAAGCAGTAACACCGCTTGACTGGTAAGGTTGACAAGTCTTGCTCTACATGTTTGCCAAGTCACACTACTTTGAAATCATAAAAATAACATTATATAAACATATATACTAGTATTATAAAACACAATATATATTTTGAAATGTTATATAACATATAAAAATACCTCATTTAACACTCATATGCATATTAGATAAAATACATTTCATACTATTATAAAAACACATTAATATAAATACATTAATATAAACACATTTATAAAACAACTATATAACATACATCACCACATAAATGTATTTATCAAAGACTTTTTAACTTTGATTGTAATATAAACGTATATGCAAACTATAAACATTTATAACTTGAATTGGGTAAACAAAAAATTTAAAAAGATGTTGTCATGGCTTTTATCCCAATTATTAAAAGCATGTGAAAG